TCATCATCCATACTGGATTTAATGTTGACCAAAAAGGAGCTGATGGTATAATCCGTCAATTTGATTCCCCCCCCCCCTCTCTCTAGGAAGCAGCGATCACGCAGTACTTACATTCAAATATGTCTGGTACACTTCTATTCAAGGAAGTTCCTCCAGATAATGCGCATAGATCCATAGACTAAACACTGTTGAAGAACTTGGCGCTCTCTACTTAGTGGGTTACTTATGACGAAGAACCCAATCCGTTGGTCGCCTGGCAGAAATTTATCGACAGTCGTACAAACTTAATGACATCAATGACTAAAACTATAGTAATCACCCAACCCAGCATCCGAAATTCATCTATTCGAAGCCGAACAAAGAGGGATTTATCCTGGCGAGATTATAAACGTCTTCCAAATGTTGTCACGTGGAATAATTATCGTATGCTGAGGAACCACTACCCCAGACTGATTCGTGAGGATAAACTGAAATACCAACAGGCGCTGGTACAGAGATTCATTCATAACCCTAAGCTGTTGTGTAAGCACATTAACTCAATTCAGAAAGTAAAGTTTAGTATACCGGCACTAAGCAGCGCTGGAAGAGTTGCAGCCACACCAGCGGAAGTAGCTGAAATGCTGAAAACTCAGTATGCCAACATTTTCGAAGCACCGCAGGCTGAAGGTTTATAGTTACCCCCCCCCACCGTTGCATCATTTCTCATATCCTTCACTGACCTACGTTTCATTTACTGTTGAAAACTAACGGTTTTGTGAAAAAATGCAACCCCGAGTGCGGACAATCCCTGATCCCTGATCTAAGGAGAACGACATTAAATTCAATGTTTCTAAGTGTAAAGCCATATCCCTACAGCACAAGTGAAGATTCTCGTATTTCCTCGGAAATCAGCAGTTACCACATACTACATGTGAAAAGGACTTCGGTATTGTTGTTCAAGAGGATTTAAAGTGCTCGATCAACTGCGCCAAGGCTTCGTCCGCCGCTGTGAAGAATGTACGCTTACTTGGATGAGTCTTTAGTCGATTTGAATCAGCACTTACCACGTTTGCCATCGGTGTACATTCGAGCGTACACAGAGTACGCCATCCAAGCCTGGGGCTCATGGTTGCAACGTGATCGTCATGTTGCTCAGCTTTGGGCAGTTGACTTCATGCACAATTAGAACG